TCCAATGGTATCAAGGTTCTGTGCCATATTGTTTGGGACTGTTCAGCAAGCACCTTGTCTCTGTCTTTTACATATTATTTGTTACTACTAATTCACCAAATAATAATGGTGCCACTCTCTTTGGTCTCTGTGTGGCTTTACTCTCTTTTGGGTACTAAACAGTTGGCCCCGCCAACAAACTGGCTCTGCCAAGTGGTCTTGGATTCTGAATGATGCAGGCATCATCAGATCAGCCACAGCTCAAGGAACCCCTGGCAACCTCTGGAGGAACCTTGGTAGAGAATGGCTGACCTAAGATATCAGACAAGTGCAATGTAAATATACACTCATTGGCCACTTTATTAGGTACACCTTGCTAGTGCCAAGAAAATATCCCCCACACCATTACACCACCATCAGCCTGAACCATTGATACGAGGCAGGATGGATCCATTCTTTCATGTTGTGTGCGCCAAATTCAACTCTACCATCTGAATGTTGCAGCAACCAGTCTGCTCATTCTCCTCTGACATCAAAAAGGCATTTTTGTCCACACAACTGCAGCTCCCTGGATATTTTCTCTTTCTGGACCATTCTCTGTAAACCTTAGAAATGGTTGTGCTTGAAAATCCCAGTAGATCAGCAGCTTTTGAAATACTCAGACCAACCCGTCTGGCACCAACAACCATGACACGTTCAAAGTCACTTAAATCCACTTTCTTCCTCATTCTGATGCTCGGTTTGAACTTCAGCAAGTCGTCAACACCACGTTTAGATGCCTAAATGCATTGAGTTTCTGCCGTGGGATTGGCTTATTATCAATTTGTATTACCAAGCAATTGACCAGGTATACCTAATAAAGTGAGTGTTGCTAAATAAGGGAAAATATCTTGCACAAGTAAGCCAGATGCATATTTATATAAATTTTGGACTTTATTTGGCCATAGGCACAGTCATGACTGGTTCTCTTTAATAGCGATTTTCACTTTCTAAATAAATAGCTCTTACATGTCATGTACTGCTTCTGATTATCAGTTACTGTTTTATTTAATCTTTACCACATTGTTTATCTTCTCGGCCACACTCAGCCTTGGGAATCCAGCTCAAATAATGCAATGAAATGGTTTTCCATGAGGTCGTCCTGGTTAATGAGTCTGATCCACGGTTGACTCACACTCCCTTCTAATCTACACTCGACATTCGGTCATGGTCAAGTGTTGCTCATACCGGCACAATATTTATTTTGTGTCTTTCGGAGGCTTTGTGAGTAGTGACGGGCAATATGAAGACCATTATTCTTTACACCGGCTTTGAACTTCAAAGATGAAAGTCCGATAAGGCCAGGAGTGACAGTCAGATGTAGTAAGTTCAGATAATACAGGAGGACAAATTCAGAACATTATCACCACCTGCCCATACTTCCACACCCACAGCTGAAGGCCAATTACCATCATCAAAATATGCAGAAATACTCTCGAGTGACCCCTGTGACCAGGATTTATTGAAGAGTGATAGATTTTACTTTGTTTGGTAGTACTGTATGAGCAAGGGCGGACTGACTATTTGGAAACTCAGGCACTGCCCGAGGGCCCGGGGTCAGTAGGGGGCCCCATGAGATTCCCCTGGTACCTTTTACATATGCTTTTTTGAGTTTGGGCAAGGACACAGGGGCCCCATGATCCCCTATTGCCCGGGGGCCCCATGAGTTGTCAGTCTGCCCCTGTGTATGAGATATTTCTTATCTCCAGGTAAAGTGATTGTAAACCTCAGACATGAAATATGAACAAAGCATATCCCTCTATAGTGTGTACCTGTCTTAATCCAGATCATTAAGTGTCATTTCTGTCTGCTGTCCTGTCCCTCTGCTATCTGCATGAGTCACTTCTGACAAGTTTTCCTGACACCAAGAAGTAAAAAAGTGATGGGGAGGGAGCTCCAGCACACAGCCTGTGATTGACTGCTTCTGTTCCTGTAAGCTGTTTATATCCCATAAAATATAAAAACAAATCAAATCTCTTAATAAATGTAGGCCAAAATGTATTCTGCTACATGTCTTTGGTAAAAAGAAAAAATCCCAATACGTGTAGGTATAGGTTTGTGTGAAATTTTCAGCATCTACAAACTATGGGATATGTGATTGAATTTTTTTTTTACTAGTACTGGTGGCAATCAGTGACTTATAATGGGACTGCAACACTGTGGTGGTCAGTCTGACATTAATTGATGCTGGAGGGAACTAACTGACATCACCAGTGCCATTATTACAGTGATGAGGGCTAATAATATGTACTGTCACTGTACTAATGACATGGGGCAGGAGGGGTAAATATGTGCCTAAGATGTGACTGTGGATCTAGTGGTTTTCCATTCCTTGCTTACACTGATAGAGCTGTGTTCTATGAGTCAGCCGGTCGGCACCTGGTGATTGGCATGTGTTGTGATAATTCACAGCACAGCTAGGTGGGCAGGCGCGCACACCCCCCTACGTTTGTATACTTTTATATACGTGATTGTGCACAGAGAATCCGCTCTATAGCAATAAAGCTACGACTTTAGAGGGGCTGGACTGTGGCCAGTAGGAGTAGAAATTGTCCTGTCAGTGGGAGGAATAGTGCCCCATTATTGGCATTACAGGGATTAATAGTGCTTCATCATTGGTACCAAGGGAATAGTGTCCCATCATTGGTGTCAGTGAAAGGAATAGTGCCCCATTATTGGTATTACAGGGATTAATAGTGCTTCATCATTGGTACCAAGGGAATAGTGCCCCATCATTGGTGTCAGTAATAGGAATAGTGCCTCATTATTGGTGTCAGTGGGAAGAATAGTACCCCATTGTTGGTTTCAGTTGGGGGAACATTGCCTCATCATTGGTGTGAGTGGGAGGAATAGTGCCCCACTGTTGATGTCAGTGACAGGAACTATGCCACATTGTTAATGTGTGTAGGGGGAATAGTGCCCCAAGGGCCGGATAAAGGCAAGCAAAGGGCTGCATCAGGCCCCTGGGCCACAGTTTGGAGCCACTGCCTTTGTATATTGCGATGCCATACAAAATGTGACTGTAACTGTAGCTCATGTAATGTACATTGAGATCACAAGTGTGTTCCTGCAGCACAGAGGGTAAATGGGCCCTGAATGAGGAAAAACTATACGACACTTAAAGTGTTACTAAACCCACAACAGTAAAAATCAGTCTGTATATGCAGTAAAGCATGCTTGTAATACTCACTGTGGAACCTAAGGGGTTAATCCTCTGCATTGTGTAAAAAAGCTGTTTGATCCTGACTTCTCTGATCCTCCCCTTCTTCTATTGTCCCCAATCCATCTGCTGATCTCTAGGAAACACTCTGCACATGCTAAGTTTAGTGTGTATTGCTAGAGGTTTTTTTTTTCTTTAGGAGAGTGCGCATGTGATCAGCACAGGGTCAATCAGCACTGTCCAGACAGAGGGTCAGGGGTCATGCAGCCTTAAGGCGGCCATATATTTCCGATGTTCTTGCCGAATTATAGGCCAGTAAAAAATTGGCCGATATTCATACCGTTAGTGGGGAAAAATGTTGGCCTTTTTTCTTAATTTTAAGAGATTTTGAAAATTGTCCAAGGTGGAAAATCCTGGTACGATTTGTTAGATCGGACGTTTTCGCGGTAATTTATGGTCAAATCGGCCGTTCTTCTGGCCGATTTGACAATAAATTGACTATGAAGAAAAAGAAGAAATAGAAGAAATAGATTTTGCAGGAGAAGAAGAAATAGAATATCAAGAAGAAGAATAGAAGAAAAGAGGAGAAAATGAAATAGATTTTGCAGAAGAAGACGGAGAAGAAAAAAAAGTTGCAACATTGTATCTATTTGTATGCATTTCGGATACAGATGTTTCTATTCAAGTACAAATAGATACAATGTTGTTTCTTTTCTTCTTCTTCTGCATAATCTATTTCTTCTGTCAAATATAATAGCGGGTCTCTATGCAGGGACACCGCTATTATATTAATTGACGGCCATAGACGGGACTAAAACCCGCCGACTCTTTTTTTAATTAGTGTCAACGTCGGCCGTCTGAACGACCGATTTACGATTTTTTTAAAAAAAAAAAAAAAAAAAAACAGCCGATTGTCCCCACGTCTCTGGCCTGCTTTATAGGACAGTCAGATGAGAATTAAAAAAACTTCTCCTACAAGATTAACCAGTGCTCAGCTGGACACTGATAGAAGTCACCAGACTGCTCTAACTGCTGATGAGAAAAGGTATTTAGCAGATTATATTTACTAAAATAATTGCATTTCCATGTCTGTGTACTGTGGGAGACCAGATATAGTGAAAGCAGGGTCCAGGGTCTAGCAACACTTTAATACAACGAATACCCAATTCCCCTAAAAAAGTAGGCCAGTTAGTGAAACTAAAAGTGTCTGTTTTGACAAAAATTAAAAATGTTGCCAAAACCACTTCTCTCATTGCTAATACATAAGGAAGCCCAATACAGCCTTCGTATAACTGGTAGACTGTGTTCATTTGACAAAATGAAATGGTCCTGTCTACGTTGGGGGGGGTTTTAATGCAGGCCATAGACGGTTCGAAAATCGGTCGATTTTCGCACGGTTAGTGGGGCAATGGCATCGGCCGATTTTCGCTGTTCCTCCTCATTTCGTTTATTGGTCATGCTGGAAAATTCGTGAAAAACGTCAATTTTCGAAATCATTGGTGGCAACATCGGATTACAAAATGAACAATGTTTCATTTTTCGGACGAAAATCGGCCGATAAACAAACCGTCTATGGCCTGCTTTAGTCTCTTCTCTGAGTCATTCAGGTCTAGCTCCATGGATAATATTACATTAGGAAAGACCAACATGATAATATGCTCACAATGTCAGCCTGGCCGGCAGGGAGGTGTTGGCTTTGTGTGTGTGAGTGTTGCTCGGGAAGCTTGTACTGAATGAAGGGTCATTGTTAGTGAAAGCCTTCTGTACTTTAGTTTCTGTGTTCCTAGCAACCCATCCTCAGCTGTGCCATGCATTCCAATGTGGATTGAGCACGAGGCAGGTAGACCTGCAGATCTCTCCACACTTCCCACTCCAAGCTGTGCCAATGGCTGAGTCGGTTCCATCTCCCAGGAGGGCCCGATCCTGGCATTTGAGTCGCTTTGCCCCTTCTCCTTCAGTTGCTGAAATCCAGATGAGAGAGAATAGGTTCGTCTTAGATTGTGTGGCTGTTGAAAGTATTTCTAAAGACTACAGCGTCTCCTTACCAAAACTCGGCTCTGTTATCCCACCATACAATTCCCAGAAAGACCACCATGTACGCGGCTATTTCCTGACCAGGCCTGTGCCACCCTTACTGAAGAAAACTGGGCAGGTGAGTGAGGGCTTCCATCTGCTCCGTCCTTCCTTTCTGCACCTCCTTGAGGCCTGATGTTTTATTTTACCCAGCTATGTAATATCTAAGGTTTCAGTCACTCTAGCAGTTGAGGGGTGGTAAAACATTACGGTTGAGCTGCATTTTTATCGCCTCACCCAAACTGTTCCTCCTTTAGCTGCAGAGTCAGCGGCTGGGGGTGAACACATGTCGTGGCTGTGATGCTTTGGGGGCACGGTAGGAATGATACCCATTGTCATTCTGTGCAGGTGTAGCACCTGCCGAGCATAACCCATTCAAGTGAACAGGACCACCCTGCAAGTTCCCTTCAGTCGTGTGCAATGCCCTCAGTTATGGTGTACTAGTGTGGGGTTTAAAAGTGATACAAAACCCCCTCACGGCCTGTCAATTGTTCTCTGAAGAACGATCCAAACCAAAGCACAGCACGTGTGAATGAATCCTAACTGTGAAAACTGTTAACTGATCTAATAGACTGCCACCAGTTTGCAATATTGGTATCCAATTGGAAAGCTGTATTTCTTGCAGTGTGTGCATCTAACACCCTAGTGCCCAACCTGTGGCCTGGGTGCTGTATGAAGCCCTCAGGGCTCCTGAAGGCATGAATATGTGTTTCCATATTGCTCTGTTATAGCAGTGATTTCTAGCAGTTGTGTAATTTGTCTCCAGTCTGACTCTTTTGAAGCATGTTCCAGGTCTACAAGAACTATGTAATTTCCACAGTCTCTGACCGTCTCTTGCAGCATGTCAGCAGTCTCTGACCATCTCTTGTACCGTGTCCATAGTCCCTGACCACCTCTTGTACCTTGTCCATAGTCTCTGACCACCTGTTGTACCTTGTCCATAGTCTCTGACCACCTGTTGTACCTTGTCCATAGTCTCTGACCATCTCTTGTACCGTGTCCATAGTCCCTGACCACCTCTTGTACCTTGTCTATAGTCTCTGACCACCTGTTGTACCTTGTCCATAGTCTCTGACCACCTGTTGTACCTTGTCCATAGTCTCTGACCACCTCTTGTACTGTTTCCATAGTCTCTGACCACCTCTTGTACCGTGTCCATAGTCTCTGACCACCTCTTGTACCTTGTCCATAGTCTTTGACCACCTGTTGTACCGTGTCCATAGTCTCTGACCACCTCTTGTACCGTGTCCATAGTCTCTGACCACCTCTTGTACCGTGTCCATAGTCTCTGACCACCTCTTGTACCGTGTCCATAGTCTCTGACCACCTCTTGTACAGTGTCCATAGTCTCTGACCACCTCTTGTACCGTGTCCATAGTCTCTCTGTTGTACAGTGTCCAGTCTCTGACCACCTCTTGTACCGTGTCCATAGTCTCTGACCACCTGTTGTACCGTGTCCATAGTCTCTGACCACCTTTGTACCGTGTCCATAGTCTCTGACCATCTCTTGTACCATGTCCATAGTCTCTGACCATCTCTTTAACCGTTGTCCATAGTCTCTGACCATTTGTTGTACCGTGTCCATAGTAGTCTCTGACCATCTCTTGTACTGTGTCCATAGTCTCTGACCATCTCTTGTACCATGTCCATAGTCTCTGACCATCTGTTGTATCGTGTCCATAGTCTTTGACCATCTCTTGTACCTTGTCCATAGTCTGACCATCTCTTGTACCTTGTCCATAGCCTGGCCATCTCTTGTACCTTGTACATAGTCTCTGACCATCTCTTGTATCATGCCCGTAGTCTCTGACCATCTCTTGTATCATGCCCGTAGTCTCTGACCATCTCTTGTATCATGCCCATAATCTTTGACTATATCCTGTTGTGTGTCTGCTGTCTCTGAGACTGAAAATTCACTTCATATTATGTACCCCTTTGGTTATGTCAGGGGTTGAACTTGAGGGTCCCCATGTCAAGAAAGTTGACCACCATTGCAATAGCAGGTTGCAGTCGGAGTAATCAACACAAGGTTAAGCACACCTTCTCCAGTTCTCTTCACTGACCCCTTTTTGTGTCAATTTTTTTAAAAACAATTTAGCATAATTATTTATTTTCCTCTTAACAAGCAAGTTCCTTTTCCCTCTCTTCTTCCCCCGGAGATGAGCTGTCCTTATTCTTGCACAGAATGACATGCCTTGATGAGTGCAGCAGTACTGTGAGCTCAAGCTGGTATCATAATACCTAGGCTCACAGGAAAGGATTGGAATGACATTGGTCATCATTCAACCTGAAAAAGAAGTGGCTAGAGGAGAATGGAGCTGAGAGTCTGCAGGGGACAGCTCTGGACAGAAGGTCAGTATTGCAGCAAAAGCTGTATTTAGTGTTTTAAGAGGTGCTAGGCTTCTTAACCACTTGCCTACCAGGCACTTTTACCCCCTTCCTGCTGAGGCCAATTTTCACCTTTCAGCGCTATCGCACCTTGAATGATAATTGCATGGTCATGCAACACTTTACCCATATGAAATGTGTTATTTTTTCAGACAAATAGTTATTTCTTTTGGTGGTATTTAATCACCACTGTTTTTTTATTTTTTACGCTACAAATGAAAATAGAGATCAAAACATTTTTTGGAAAAAAATGTTTTTCTTCATTTCAGTTTTAACATTCTGCAAAGAAATAATCTTTCTTCACAAATTTACATAGTTACATCTGTTAGTCTGGCTGAAAAAAGACAACAGCCTATTTCAACCATTTAGAAAAAAAAGTTATAATCCTACACCCATAGTTGATCCAGAGGAAGGAAAAAAAACCCAGCAAAGCTTGATCCAATTTGCTCCTGCAGGGAAAAAATTCCTTCCTGATCCCCCGAGAGGCAATCGGATATTCCCTGGATCAACGTTACCTATAAATGTTAGTATCCAGTTATATTCTGTGTATCCAAGAAAGAATCCAGGACTTTTTTAAAGCAATCCACTGAGATGGTCAGAACCAACTCTTGAGGGAGTCTATTCCACATTTTCACAGCTCTTACTGTGAAGAAACCTTTCCATATATGGAGATTACATTTCTTTTCCTCCAGATGTAAAGAGTGCCCCCTTGTCCTCTGTGATGACCTCAGGGTGAATAACTGAATAACCGAGTTCACTATATGAACCACTGATGTATTATACATGTTGATCATATTGATGTATTATACATGTTGATCATATCCCCCCTTATGTATTATACATGTTGATCATATCCCCCCCATGTTGATCATATCCCCCCCTTAATCTCCTCTTCTCAAGAGAGAATAAATTCAGTTCCTCTAATCTTTCCTCATAGCTGAGCTCCTCCATGCCTCTTATCAGTTTGTTTGCCCTTCTCTGTACTTTCTCCAGTTCCCCAATGATTTTTTTGTGAATTGGTGCCCAAAACTGAACTGCATATTCCAGATGAGGTGTTACTAATGATTTGTACCGGGGTAATATGATATCTCTCTCTGGAGTCTATACCTCTTTTAATACAAGAGAGGATTTTGCTCGCTTTAGAAACCGCAGCTTGGCATTGCATGCCATTATTAAGCTTGTAATCTACCAGAACCCCCAGATTCTTCTCCACCATTGATTCCCCCAGTTGTATCCCCCCCCTAGTATGTATGATACATGCATATTCTTAGCCCCCAAGTGCATAACCTTACATTTATCAACATTAAACTTCATTTGCCACATAGTTGCCCAATTATACAGAGCATTGAGGTCAGCTATATAAATTGGAGAAACACTGAAATGGGATTTTTAACCTTAAGGGTCCCAACACTGTACACCACTGACAACCCTAGACCATTCAGAGTATGAATCATTAACCACTACTCTCTGAATACGATCTTTTAGCCAGTTTTCTATCCATTTACACACAGGTTTATCTAAGCCTGTAGACTTTACCTTACACATTAGCCGTGTGTGTGGGGAACTGTGTCAAACGCTTGCAAAATCCAAGTATACCACATCCACCGCCACCCCTCTGTCCAAGTATACCATGTCCACCACCACCCCTCTGTCCAAGTATACCATGTATACCGCCACCAAGGTTTTGCTCACCTCCTCATAAAAAGAAATCAGATTTGTTTGACAACTTCTGTCTTTCATGAATCCATGCTGTCTGTTGCTTAAAAAAATATTTTTTTCCAGCAAGAGCTCATCTATGTGGACTTTTATTAAACTCTCCAGTGTCTTCCCAACTATAGAAGTTAAACTAACAGGTCTATAATTACTTGGTAAAGATTTTGACCCCTTTTTAAATATTGGCACCACATTGGCCTTACGCCAATCCAGTGGTACTATGCCAGTCATTAAAGAGTTCCTAAAAATGAAAAACAATGGCTTTGAAATGACTGAGCTCAATTCTTTAAGGACCCGTGGGTGTATGCCATCCAGTCTAGGTGCTTTATTCACCTTTATTCTGTCTAAATATTTTTGGATCATATCAATTGTGAGCCAATGTGGATCATCTGGAGCTGTGCCAATACCATACCCATTATGGACAAGAGCTCCCCATGCCCAGCCCCTTCCAGTACTTTATCAACCCGGTCCACCACATGCCAAATCCTGGCACCACGGAGACAGCAAACCATTCGGTTGAGGTGATCCTGGTGACAAATTATTCTATCAGTCCTTCTGATTATAGAATCCTCTACTACCACCAGCTGTCTAGGCCTTCCTGCACTACCCTCACCACCCCTCCCAGATGGTCTGCCCTCTCGGCTGTTAAGGATAGCAGTGACATCCAGGGCTTCCACCCCTGAGCTAGCCACCCCCATATCTTCACCCAACTTGACAAATCTGTTTGGGTGTACAAACCCAGGGCTGGCCTTCCTTTTCTGTGAGCTGGCCTTCCTTTTCTGTGAGCCCCTACCACTCCCTCTCATTACAGTAACCCATCTTCCTACCTGATAATCCTGATTAGCTCCTCCACCACCCTTCACATCAATCCCATTAGCTACCTGCTCAGAGAGCAGAAGACACCCTTTCAAGGTTGTCGGTTCTGCCCAGTGTTGCAGCTTGCTCCTCCAGATCTCTAATGCAAGTTTCCAGAAGGGCAACCTGCTCACATCTGTCGCAGCGGCATCCATCCTGGAACTGTTGCTCCATTGCTGCATATATGGCACACTGTGCACTGCACAAAACCTTCCACCCTGCTAGCACACATTATCCCAGTTACAATAATAATAGAAAATATCAGTTGTCACTTACAGGTTAGTAGACTCCTGTTATAATCTCCTGTTTCCAACTCTGGTTTTTTAACTCCACTTATCAAATGTCCACTTCTCAAAAGGTCCAGAAAGAAAAAATATAGGCAAGCTCAGAGTGAGCTCTACAGCAAGTTATACAGTATAGTACCTGTATCACCTGAGACCAATTAACACCTCCCCTTACTTAGCAGACTAAAGGAAGAAAAAATAATTCTATTTAAAAAGTGACAGAAAAAGTGATTTAAAAAAGTAAAAGCTTTTAGCAAGACCCAAAGAAGAAAATAAACAACTACAAGCACCAGCAATCATCGGCACTCAAAAGGAAAACTTTTTCACTCTCCACTCAAATTTCCCACTCTTTTTTAGCTATCAGCCAGCAAAAAATGCCAGACCAAATTTAGGCCAAAATGTATTCTGTTACATGTCTTTGGTGAAAATAACCCAAATCAGTGTTTATTATTTAGTTGGTAGGAAAGTTGTAGAGTCCACACTGTATGGTAAATACCTAAAAATTGATCAAGTCCTGATGTACTAACGGCCAATCTCATTTCCTGAGGCCCAAAAACACCAGGACAGTACAAATACCACCAAAATGACCACTTTTCGGAAAGTACACAGTCTGAGGAATTTTGTAAGAGGGATGGCAAGTTTTTTGAAGTTTACATTTCTAGTCATAATTTTGTGGAAAATGAAGAAATGAAAAAAAGTTCACTTTTTTTTTTCATAATGTCACCAATGCAGTACAGCGTCATCATATAACTGGTGCAGCGGTAATCAGGGACACTGGCAAAAATATATAAAAAAAAATATATATATATATATATATATATATTTTTTTTTTTTTTTTTTTTTTTTTTAAACACTATGATTGCTTATATCAACAAATTTCATTGGTATAAGCAAGCATTTTTACTGAATGAAACTGATTCAAATAGCAGCGCAGTTGTAAGCAATGAATGGCATGTCCATTCCTGAGATAGACTATGGGATTTGTAGTGTGTTCCAAACAAACAGAAGTGCATGGGGAGTAGAAGACCGGGAGCTCACATAGGATGTTACAAGGAGGCACAACAACATAGAAACTATTTCATGAAAAATAGATTACAGGGCCATTAAGTAAGGGATTATTTTTTTGGAGAATAGGGATATATAGTGTCCCTTTTTATTTTAATCAGTTTCTAGAGTTAGAAAGATTGGCTTTTTTATTGCATAGAATGGAAAAATGTTCAAACTTTTATCAGGTTTTCTATCCTGTTTTTGTCCCTGCTGGAGAGATTCCAGCTCACTTCTTCCTGGTGACCACTGTGAAGTTTTAATTGTTCCCTATTGATTGGACATCTTGGAAATGTGACTTGAGTAACTGTTGTGTGGTTGGAGTGGCTGGAGTAACTGTGAAAAGGTCAATGGGCGGTGTGAGTTACAAACAAATGGTCATATTGTGAAAACTATCAGGACTATGGCTTAGCCGTGGGCATTTTTAGTGGCAGCAGGGATAGCTGAATGTTTTGATATACGATTTGTGTAGGTGGGCTTGATAATGAGGGAGTGATGGCAGTTTAGAAATCATGTCCTGATTTTTCAGCTCACACTCTAGCTTTTGTCAGCTCCCACTTTAGTTTTGAACATTCTGCCATTCATTCCTATGGGACCAATTTCACCACAAAAACGCCGATATTACGTGAACCATTCAGCGAAACGTTCCACAAAGTAATAGCACACCAATCAGGAACAATCCGCACATTTCGGTATATTACTGTCTACGTAGTGTAAAAACTGTGGGAGGAGTTTGGATGGTAAATTTGGCTATAATAATAAGAATATATATGTGAGATAACAGTAAGTGGTCTTGCCATGCAAGAACACTTAAAAAAGTGTTTAGGTGGAGTAAAATCTGATCCTCTTTCTTTCCCAACTCTAATATGTATGTTTAGTGTTCTTTAACTACGTCAGTGTGTAAAGCTGAACTACAATGTATGCATTTGAGAGTGGAAGATTTTTTTCATTTCCATGCACCTGTCATTGGGGTATAAAGTGAAAACACTTTCTTCTATTGCTTCACAGTCACATGGAGGCACATCAACTTATGGAGAACTGGCTGACCGATTCCAGTACAAGGGTGCTGCTGCTTTCTACCTACTGAGCCGAAATTATAGCGGGTCAGGTATGTTGGTCGATTAAGAAGTCTGTAATCCACCCTTACTGCCTCCTACAGCACTTTATTGGTTCACCATTGTGATAAGCAGCCTTGCTGATCAATAGAGATCTGGGGTAGAGGCAAGGCCAATCTTTGACTTCCTAATAAAAGTTGATACTTTCATAGAGGAGACCACCCCCAAAGTGTCCATGCAGGACAAAGTTCACTTAATTGTTGAGCCCCTGCAGCTGTTGAAACCTAAATTCCTTACACTGCCCCTGGCGCTCCATAAAGCTGAGTAAGTGAAGTGACATACCTGGCATTTTTGAGTATGGGGAAGCATGTGACTTATTTCCCTTTCATAGATGTGACAGAACTAGTGATAGGCAACTCCTTTGCGAAGTCTTATGACAAGAAGGCAGGGAGAGAGTATTCAGAGCTCTGTAGGCTCCATGACTATTTTCTTAGGGGAATGAGCACTCTGGCGGGAAACCAGATTAGCCACCTATCCTGGGACTGTACATTTCTTAAAACAACAGTCACCAGATGTTCACAGATACCTTCAGATTTCTGAGTGAGAGAAGAGGAGTTCATCTAGGGTCTGGGGTGAGACATTGGGAGACACTGGCTAGCTCTCCAACAGAGACTGTGTTGCAGTGAAGGCTTGTAAATAGTTCCAGGAAGTTGACCTCAGTTCATAGGTTCCATTGGGAATCCTGTATACTCCTAACCCTATCCCAGTTCAATGCCCCCCAATACAATTGTCACAGACCTGTGGTAGTGAGCCCTTGTAGACCGCCAGCTCGAGACGCAGAGTCTAAGCCCCAGCCTGCTTCTTCACCAGAGCCCCTGATAGTGGGGATGGACTTGCAGCAAACTAGAATCAGGTCGTGGCCCCCAGGTATGCCTAGCTGTGGATGCGGAGACCACTAGCGTGAGCAGAGTGTACTGGCAGGAGACAACAGGAAAGTCGATAGACAAGCTGAGGTCAGTACAGGTGGAAATCAAGCACAATCAGTGGACGAAGTCGGGGTCGGTACACGGGTGGTCAGATACAAGAGTAGCAACAGCCAGGAACTCAGAGAACTAAGAAGTTGCTCAGGCAAAGTGGGCTAGACTGAGCATGTCTTATATAGAAAAGCAAACTAGGAGGCCGGAAGTTATGGAAGGGAAGGAAATAAAACCCAGAGAATAGCAGACGATGCCCATAAGTGAGCACAGACAAACCACACATGTAAAAGGAGTCAGGAACAGCACTCCAGCAAGGAGGTAAGAATACACAAACAAGAAACTACAGGCTAACTTGTAACAGAAATCACAAAAACAAAGCTCAAGGACTGATCTCTGACTGGATGCAAGCCTGCATGAGAATGCGTGTTGCCTGGCTGTTCAGGGCTATAGGGGGACCGGAAATCTCTTGCAACTCCTAAGGGGGTAATGCTACAAATGCATAGGGAGGTGAGGCATGTCTGCAATCCCATCGAGAACTCAATAATGTAAAAAAAGATATAGTGGCAATTCTTCTTTTAAACTATTTTTATACATTTATACTCTTGTTTATATATTTGAAATCTTTTCTATTAACCCCTGTACTTCTAAACCTGCTTCCTGGCTGCCATACTAATCCAATGGTTTCAGTATTTTCCAAGTCACTTGCCTAGAACAAACATACAGTTTAGGAGCAATGACTTCACTCTGACATCGCTTGCTGCATACTTGTACCTGGTCAGTGAATCCAAAACTACCCTGTTTCCCCGAAAATAAGACAGTGTCTTATATTAATTTTTGCTTCCAAAGATGCGCTAGGTCTTATTTTCAGAGGATGTCTTATTTTTCCATGAAGAAGAATACGGTACACATTTATTGTTAAATGATCCTCCTGTGTCATTTTGATTGCCCCCTCTGATCCTCCTGTGTCATTTTAAGTGAACCCCCTCCCCCCCACCCCTGTGCCACTGAACACCTTCACCAGACATCCCCCCCACCCCTTTATCAGACATTTCCCCCCTGGGGCCTGCCTGGGGACTGTCACTGGGCTGGCTGGGGCCTGGACCTGGGCTGGAGCAGGGTCTGCCACTGACTGAGAACCTTCAGTCATCATGAGGGCGGTGTCACCAGAGAAAGACCAGCACTCACCACCTTTGCCGCGTCCCGTCCGCTCTGATCCTCCTGTTCTTCTACACGCATCTCTCTCCCGCTCACTCCGACCTCCGCTCCACCTCCACACAGCAGTGACGTCACTGGTTGCTAGACGCCAGTCGGGGCGGCCATAGCAACCAGTTTACGGAAAATTAATTTTCATTACGAGACAGAGCCTAGGGGGGCCTTATTTTCGGGGGGATGCCTTATATTTCACCCAGAAGGAAACCTGTAAGTAGGTCTTATTTTCGGAGGATGTCTTATTTTCGGGGAAACACGATACTGAATCCAGAGAGAGAGCCAGGCAACTAGCATTTTTAGAAGACATCAGAAATGGCAGCCCTGTTCTGAACTCCAAGCAATATGTAAATAAAATACATATACAAGAGCTGCTTTACCCACCATAAAGTTTATCTTTTTGCACCTCACTCTTAAAATGTACCCAGCTCTGCCACACAGCACAGTTCTGCTTGGTGGTGTCGGAAGCCAACCCTTTGTCTCCTGCAGTTTCATTTCCACTTACAAGTTCCCTCCACACTGTGACTGGAGAAGCGGCACACTGATGAGCTCGTCTTTCTGTCACTCTGCTCTCTCCTCCAATCAGCCTCCTTGCAATGATTGACTTATTGTGCTATTTCTCCCTCCCCCATTCTGAACTTTGCTGTACATAGCCTACATGAGGTGGTGACCAAATCACGTTCAGGTTAGCATTTCCAAAAATACATTCAGTTATCAATAATCATAGAACTGTTGTGCCTTTTATATCTGCCTGGAGATCAGATGTAAAGAATATTTTTTTTTTATGACTGACTTTTCTGTATTGACATCTGTTGGTCTGATCAAATGTAAGGCTTGTGATCCTCCGTATGGCCCACCACCTCATCAATATTCCTGTCATGTCCCAGGTCACTCAGCAGAACACACCAGCGGTCATGGCCAGTTCTTGTCGTCCGTCAAACCTGTAATCGGCTACAATGGACTCTATGGGTACAGAAGAAACACCCCGTCTCTGCGCAGAATGCCCTCAGCATTTGGGATTGTGACCAAGTCAGCTATTTACTGAATAAAAATATAATGGTCTGGCTGTGCAAGAAGCATGTGAGCAACATTTTGTGACCTTGATGAGTGTAACGTCTTTTCTTTATGTTGGCAAAACAGCCAGCGCTATGCATTTTCTAATTTCGTGACATTTTCAACATTAGCGTAGTTGTCTGTACAAGAGTAATTTTGTGTAATGTTATTGTTTGCATCCGCACTGATGTGTTTTAATGGAACACCGACCCTCCACCACTGGACTTCAATGCTGTCACATTTACTGGCACCCATAAAAAGATATTTGTTATGAAATACATTGCCCTTTAGGCACTAGACAAGTCTGTATCTGTTTTTGTTATTTGTATCTCCAGCCAAAAATTTGCATTACAAAAAAGTATTTTGCTTTTCTCAGCAACCATTGATACTAAGACATCAGTTATAAAATGATCAAACCCAAGAAGGAAAATGTAGCACAGCTTAACAGTGCATAAATGTGGTGACTGCATTTGATTTCTCTTTTTTTTTTTTCAGGCTAAGAACAATTTCAGCAAGTACAGAAAATGGATGTTAATCTTGCTAGATATGCCATTTCCTTGTCATTTCTGGTGAACTGAACTGGAAGCATAAAACAATCAAATATTCCTTCTGAAAATGAATGTACAGTTTGGTCCATATATAGGTGGACACAGGCACAATTTTAGTTTTTTTTTCAGGTATTTACCAAAACATATTCAAGCTATAGTTATGAGCTGTAAGCCATAATCATCACAATGATGACAAATCACGGCTTGAACTATCTTGCTTTGCATGTAATGAGTCTATCTCATATATTAGTTTCACCTTTTAAGTTGCATTACTGAAATAAATGAACTTTTGCACGATATTCTAATTTTTCGAGTTTCACCTGTATATAATGGATATGGGCTGAAAGTACACACTCTCAGCTTTAATTTGAGGGTATGTACATCTAAATTAGAGGAAGGGTTTAGGAATTACAGCTCTTAAGAGTAGCCATCCCCTCTTTTTGAAAGGGACCAAAAGTAATTGGACAATTGAATCAAATGCTGTTTCATGGCCAGGTGTGGGCTACGCCTTCATTATTTCTTCATCAGTTAAGCAGGTAAAAGATCTGGAGTTGATTTAAAGTTTTTGCATTTGGAGTCTATTGCTGTGAGGAGGTGGGTGTATCATTGTCAAAGTTTATAATCAAGAGAGAAAACTTCATGAGAGCAAATACAGAGGGTTCACCACAAGGTTAAAACCATTCATAAATCTGAAGAATAAAAAAGCCAGATTAGACTTTGCCAAAAAAAATCTAAAAAAGCCATACCAGTTCTGGAAAAGCATTCTTTCAACAGATGAAACTAGGATTAATCTGTACCAGAGTGACGGGAAGAAAAAAGTGTGGAGAAGGCTTGGAACAGTTTATGATCCAAGACACACAACGTCATCTGTAAAACATGGTGGAGGCAGGGTAATGGCATGGGCATGCATGACGTCCAGTGGCGCTGGGTCATTGGTGTTTATTGATGATGTGACAGAAGGTAGAAGCAGCCGGGTGAATTCTGTGGTGTTTAGAGATATACTGTCAGCCCAGATTCAGCAAAGTTGATTGGACGACGCTTCACAGTACAGATGGACAATGATCCAAAACACACTGCAAAAGCAACCCAGGAGCTTTTGAAGGAAAAGAAGTGGAATATTTTACAATGGCCGAGTCACTCACCTGATCTCAACCTAATTGAGCATGCATTTTGCTTGCTGAAGGAAAAACTGAAAGAAAGACAGAAAGACCCACAAACAAAGAACAACTGAAGACAGCTGCAGTTAGAGCCTGCCAAAGCATCAGAAAGGAGGAAGCCCAGTCTTTGCTAATGTCCATGGGTTCCAGACTTCAGGCAGTCATTGTCAGCAAAGGATTCTCAACAAAATATTACAAATGAACATTTTATTTATGATTATATTCAATTGTCCAATAACTTTTGGTCACTTGAAAAAGGGGGGATGGCTATTCTTATGAGCTGTAATTCCTAAACCCTTACTTCAGTTTGGAGGTACATACCCTCAAATTAAAGCTAAGAGTGTGCCTTTCAGCCCATATCCATTATATAACTATACTTTGAATATGTTTTGGTAAATACCTGAAAAAACTAAAATTGTGCCTTTTGTCCAACTATATATGGACCTAACTGTATATGTAAACCCTCACCTTGTAAAAAAAAAACCATTCAGTTTAAAGCGATACTAAAGGTTCTTTTTGTTTTGTAAAGTAATTACATGTTATACTCACCTGCTCTGCGTAGTGGTTTTGCACAGTGCAGCCTGGATCCTCCTCTTCTCGGGTCCCCCACAGGCTCTTCTGGCTCCTCCTTTCTGTCGGGTGCCCCCAAGCAGTTTCCTATGGGGGCACCACTGCTCCTAGTGTCCATTCACACACGGAGAAGGGGGCTTGGCCCTGTCCCCTCTCTCTCCTCATTGGCTGTGATTGACAGCAGGGGGGAGCCAATGGCTCCCACTTGCTGTCCCAGCCAATGAGGAGGACAGAGACCCAGGGAAAGCCAAGGCTGTCTTGCACATCACTGGATCACAATGGGGCTTAGGTAAGTATTGAGGGGCTGGGGGCACTGCTGCACACAGAAGGTTTTTTACCTTCATGCATTCCTTGAGCCTTTACAACCACTTTAAAGTAGAAATGAAAGGCAAAACATTTATGTATACTGTACATATATAAAAACAATATAAAAACCTTTTTTCCCCCTTTTTTATAAGTGATTACATACTCTCTGTTGTCAGCTTCATACTGTAAGTAGCTCAGTAAGGAAAAACATCAGCAAACTGGTCTTCCCAGTGAATGGTGGTGCAAAAGGGGCAAGTCAGCAGAAGACTGATCATTGGAATAGAGCAGGCTGAGTTCTCAGCACAGCCAGGAAACTGACCACGCTGTGCTATCCCGCCTAGTGTAGTCAGTTTCTAATAGGAAAGCAGAGTGACTGACAGGACCACCAGGGATTTCACACAAAGAAACAATACAAAGAGAATAAGATACTTTTTTATACAAGTACATGGTATAGCAGTCTGGTGATGAACAAAAGCAAACACGTGTAGTGTTTACCACCGGAGGAGCCGCTGTATCTCGGTCCCCTGTTCCCAATGTCAACATCTTTTTGGGCACCACCACACTCTCTGACACACCAAAGCTGATGGGTGAATATTTACTATTGCAACCCAGTAAATAAATAACCAACAAAATGGGGAAAACAAAGCGAACTCAATAATAGGGCATATAACGACATGTGCAAAATAATGCATCAAGAAAGAATAAGCAGACCAAAGCCCTATACTAAGAAGGATCCTGACTAAGGAGGCAATGCAAAGCATCAGGGGTCCATTAGTCTCTTCCAACTCCCTCCCATTAACCAGTGCATTGGTGTACATTGGGGACCAAATTCTGGCATTGGAGCGCTCAGCTTGTGTCAGTCCCACATAACCAGGCATGAGTGTCCAAACCAGTACTTCTTTCACCTTAAACAGCTGGTGGAAGGTTGTGGGAAGCAGCCTCTCACCACCAAATAAGTTGAAAACTTGCCTCTTCCCACTCTCTGTCCAGTCTTCGTGACACAACTCAGTGCAGGTTTTCCCACAGAGCAGGTGGTGTTTCTAGACTGCTTGTCTGGGAGATCAAAAAAAAGGGGGCGGAGAGCTGAAGTTACACTCTGCAGAGCTCAGTGAGGAGAGCTCTGAGAGCTGATTGGAGGAAAGAGACACACCCCTCTCCACTCAGCACACAGAAGTTTGGACAGCTGCACTCCAAAAAAAGTCCACCTTTATTAAATTAAAAAAAAAAATGAAGAAAAACAAAAAAACCCAAAACAAAAAAAAAACACCACAGCAAGACACTGTGGGGTATGAGAAAAGTCTACAAATTTCACGTTACATCAGAACTTAATCCCTGGGAGTCACAATTAAGTACTGATGTAGCGTGAAATGCATAAACTTTTCTCATGCCCCACAGTGTCTTGCTGTTTGTTTTTTTGCTATTTTTATGATTCAATAAGTGGACTTTTTCGAAGTGCTGCTGTCCATATTTCTGGTTTCTACATACACATTTCTATAGCTCTTCAACTTCAATACACAGGGTGCAGGGCAATTGGTAGTTTACAGAGCACAGCTAGGAAGAAAGATATTCTTCAGTGAAGCTCATAGGAAGTGACAAACACAGAGCATTTCTAGCGAAAAATCAAGAGATATTTCAAGCTAAGAAGAAGAAATACAGAATCTAAGAAAACAAATGTAGACATCACATCTAAGGACTATAGGCTGCAATATATTTCCTTTTTGCTCTTGCGTTAAGTTACTCTTTATGCTCATTATTGAAAAATACTGCATGTGGATACGAATGCAGAATTATAAAAGGGATTCCTTACAACCCATGATATTTTTATTTTGACATAGAAATGAGGTGGTGCACCTAAAATGGAAAAAAAATGAAATTAGTTGGTGCAAGGGACCCTCTGATTCTACATTTACATGGAAATACCCTCAGCGATAATGTCAGCTCATTGACACTTAAATGAAAGGTGTCAAGGTGGCTTGGAGCACACAATACGTTTGTATGGAAACGCATGAAACTAGGCTCCTCTGGTCATGGTGTGTGCATAGGCACCGGCAGAAAGAACCTTGTCCTTGCCTCTTGTATTTTTAATTAAATGTGACTTTCCCAGGAAAACTGTAATAAGTGGAAGGAGTAGAGCAGGGGCAGACCGACAACTCATGGGGCCCCCAGGCAATAGGAGATCATGGGGCCCCTGTGTCCTTGCCCAAACTCAAAAAAGCCTATGAAAAAGGTACCAGGGGCATCTCATGGGGCCCCTACTGACCCCGGGTCCTCGGGCAGTGCCTGAGTTTCCAAATGGTCAGTCCACCCCTGGAGTAGAGTGTCCCCTCTGACCTGCATTGTTACTGGAGGTAACTCATTATTACATCTACATAGTTTTTCAATTGACCCATTGTCCAGCCAAAGCCAAGAAC